AGGTGGGGCGAAGGCCACCGCGGGCGAACTCAGGGGGCCGAGCATGAGGGCGAGGGCCGCGGCCGGGAAAGTCAGGGGGCCGGGCTCGAGGGCGAAGGCCGTGGCTCTCAGGGGGCCGGGATCGAGGGTGAAGACTGCGGCTCTCAGAGGGCCGGGCTCGAGGGCGAAGACCAGACAGCTCCGGAGGCCGGGCAGGACCCGGTGTCGGAGCTGGTGGGACAGGCCTCGGCAGGATCCCCCACAGAACAGGACCAGGACACGGGATTGGCAGGACCCCCGGCAGGAGAGCAGTCGGCGAGACCTCCAACGGGACAGGACATAGGGTTGGCAGGACCCCCGGCAGGAGAGTAGTCGGTGGGGCCTCCAACGGCACAGGACATAGCATTGGCAGGACCCCCGGCAGGAGAGTAGTCGGCCGGACCTCCAAGGGAACAGGACAAAGGGTTGGCAGGACCCCCGGCAGGAGAGTAGTCGGCGGGGCCTACAACGGCACAGGACAAAGGGTTGGCAGGACCCCCGGCAGGAGAGTAGTCGGCGGGACCTCCAACGAGACAGGACAAGGAGCTGGCAGGACCCCCGGCAGGAGAGTAGTCAGCGGGACCTCCAACGGCACAGGCCAAAGGGTTGGCAGGACCCCCGGCAGGAGAGTAGTTGGCGGGACCTCCAACGAGACAGGACAAGGAGCTGGCAGGACCCCCAGCGGAACCTCCAACGGACCAGGACATTGGGTAGGGACTTGAGACGTGACCCGAGAGGGGACTCGAGACGTGACTCGAGAGGGGACTCGAGAGGAGACTCGAGAGGAGACTCGAGAGGAGACTTGAGACGTGACTCGAGAGGAGACTCGAGAGGGGAACCAAGGGGGAACTCGAGAGGGGACTCGAGAGGTGACTCGAGAGGGGAACTAGAGAGGGGACTCGAGAGGGGACTAGAGGAGAGACTAGAGGAGGGACTAGAGAAGGGAACTCGAGAGGGGACTAAAGGAGGGACTAGAGGAGGGACTAGAGGAGGGACTAGAGGAGGGAACTCGAGAGGGAACTGGAGAGGGGACTCGAGAGGGGACTCGAGAGGGGACTGGAGAGGGGACTTGAGAGGGGACTTGAGAAGGAACTTGAGATGGGACTGTGGCAGCTGGGGCCAGAGCTGGGTCTGGAACCATGGCTGCGGGGGCCGGAATTGAAGCCAGAATCATGGATAAAGATAGGTCATTAGAAATGAATAGGACAAACGACTACTAGAGGTCGAAAACTTTAAAACATGATTATAGGTCGTCATAAGCTGCTTGAACTATCGACCTATTTGGTCCCCCCCCCACTTCTCTCTCCTTCTCCATTTCTTCACTTGGGTCCGTCCTTCCTTCTGCTATTATACACAGTGGAGTCATCAACCCAATAATAATTTGTCTGGACTACAAATCATTGAGCTTTTGTTTAGTTTAATATTTTATTTCAAAAGACTGACCATCAAAAACTAATTATTCTAAAGTGACATTAGTTGTAGGTTACAATATGATAGAATCGGAGGATGAAACCGATGAAATCTGCTTTTAACCCATCCTAGTACGAGGAGCAGTGGGCAGCTATACAGCGTTGGGGGAGTAACGGGAGCGCTCCAAGTAGCCGTCCACACATATTGTAAGTCTGTTCAGGGACTTGAACCAGTGACCCTACGCCTCCCAGCCCCTGCTGCAAGTTGGCAGCATATATACAGTCTCAGTTGACACAAATGTCACCCTGATGAGAACACTTTATGCCTAACAGCTGACCTCTGTCAGCTGTTAGGCATAAAGTGTTCTATGAAAAAGAAGAAAATAAAACAACATAGATTAGCTCCATGGCATAATGCCGAAACCTGCAAAATAAAGCAAAAGTCGAGACAACTTGAAAGGATATGGCGTTCTACTAAACTTGAAGAATCTCGTTTAATTTGGCATATTACTCTCAATGAATATAAGAAAGCACTGCGTAAAGCGAGAGCAGCCTACTACTCTTCATTAATAGATGAGAATAAGAATAATGCAAGATTTCTTTTCAGCACTGACAGGCTGACAGAGAGCCACAGCTCGATTGAGCCTTCTATTCCCATAGCACTCAGTAATGATTTTATGTGCTTTTTTAACGATAAAATTGTTACTCTTAGAAACAAAATTAACGACCTCTTGCCTTTGATCAGTATAGTGTTATCAACAGCTCCCGGAAACGTAAGTTCTAATATTACACTAGATAGTAAACTAGAATGCTTTTCAGCCATAAACCTTGAACAATTAAATTCAATGATTCTCTCTTCTAAACCATCAACGTGCATGTTAGACCCAATTCCAACTAAGCTGTTGAAGGAAGTTTTTCCATTAATTAGCACTTCTTTAAAGCACATAATGACTTGTTTAAGACTCGTTTTGTCAAAGTTTAGGACTTGGACTTGACTTGAACTTGCCCATCCTGACTTGAGACTTGACTTGGACTTGAGCGCAAAGACTTGAGACTTGACTCGGACTTGCAAAACAATGACTTGGTCCCACCTCTGTCCTGAAGTCATGTTGGAGATGTTTAAATTAGCTTAAATCTGCTTATCTTTTTTGCTACCACTGCACATCACTCAAATGCTTTAACAGTGCTGTGTTAGCCTATATGTTGCTATAGGTAACTGTGACAGATGCTTGATGGGATGTGATGGAGATATAGGTCCCTGGAGATGAGGGTTTTCAGTCCACCAAAGAAACAGTCCACATAAATACTGGAGAGATGGAAATCCTGCAGGGACAGAGGCCATCTCTCTCTTTCTGTCCTTACATCCTGTCCTCCATAATTCCTCTCCACCTATCATTAACATCGTCCTCATCTCATCTTCCCAGCTGCATTGAGCCTGACACCCCCAGCCTCTCAGAGCATAGAAAGGTGAGAGATATCCTCCTCAGCCAGAATAAAGGCGCTCATTTTGCTTTCTCACACTTCAAGTGTTTGGCTGATGACTGAGGGCAGCTTCAGACGTTACTCCCATGTGAGGGCGGGCACTCAGCCTCTGGATGGAGTCATACATTATGTACAGAGCACTTAAAGCTGGCTGATATCAGGGCATATATTCCCATGTATGTTTGTGATGAACTGAAGATGCCATGTGCAAATTCACCTGCTTTACTTGCAACCACTTTCTAAAAAGATGCAACTGGAGTCTCTATAGGCTCTACTACATTTATCCTGGCATTTTCAAAAAAGCACAGTCAACAGTACATTAAAGGCTTTGGACAGATGCATGAGTAAACATGCTGCAACATAATCACAAGGATATATAAAGGCTTCCAAGAATCCAATTCAGCTTGCACGTACTTCGATTGAAATGAAAGGGAAGCATTAGAATCAAAGAAAGGCTCTCTTTAAATGAAATATAACCCCCCCTCTCTTCAGGTGGGACCTCACCATGCACTGCCATGCACAGAGGAGAAAGTATTGGCACCAGATGGAGGAGATGATTAATCACAGTCAATTATTGCCTGGATCCTCCAAAAGATGAATGTTTGAATAGTTCCAATTCATCAAACTCATCATGAGGAGTCTACAAGTCAGTAAATGTTGTTTTGACTAAATGAGAAATTGATTAAACATTATCATACATTACTGCTCTGTTAAATGTGATTTTTCTATACATATGTTGGACTACTACAGAACAAGAGATAAAGGTGTTGCGCACTTTCAGATCCTCTGGTCACTTAACAAACTGACAAAGACCACCCAACCCCCCACAGGATTTCATCAATAACATCAAGTATGAGACATTATACTTACAAAAGTATTTGCTATGATATAGGAACACAGTGCCATCACTGTCATCGAATGTCCCACCAACCAAAAACTAACTAACAGTGTCCTTTGAAGGTCCAACTCAAATAAGAGTAGCTGAAATGTTGCTGAGGGATTTAAAACATCTTCTCTAACTCCAACTTAACAAAAAGAGCTTCTTCATACACCCCCCTCCATACCGTCAGTCTATCCTGTCAACATTAACCCCCACAGGTCTGCCAGTTATCTAACCCGCGGGCTCATTTATTGTAGCCGTTACATTAAGGATATTTACTTCATATATAGACCAGTGGAAACAGGAGCAGCGTGTTTGATTCGGGTTAGGGTTAGAGAGGACGAGAGCACCCTTCTGATGAGAGGCTACGTGATGTACTGCCTGCACAAAGTAGGAGTCACAGAGAAAACTGAGCTTTGCATTGAAGTGTGCTTTCGAAAAGAGATCAACAATAAAGAGTTTGCTGTCGTTCACGCTCCATTCAGAGTTTCTATCTGGTTTCCTAACCAGTAGGGTTAGATAATCAAAACGTGTTATCAAATATATTTCAAGTGATAATTCAAGTGTTTTACACCTCACGTAAAGAAACGTTTAGTGTCACTTTTAACCTGCTTATAGACAGAAACACCAAGACATCTTGATTTTCAAGCCCAATAGTTGGAAAATAAATACTCTACATATTTCAGAGGAACATATATTGTGATTTTCAATTTAATATCTATCTCTTTAAAAAAAAGAAACAAAAATAAGACGTTGCACACTTAATTACACAATCCCCACAGGAGCACTTTGAGGTGAAGTGTCTCAGGGACACAACGACATGCTGACTGCAGTGGGGTTTGAACCTGTGCTCCCCTGATCCCAACGCACTAGCCCACTGCGCCACACGTAATCTTCCTATGCTTCTAGAGAAGTGCATGCAGAGTAAAGCTGACATCATCATTAGTCACAACTGAAGTGCTCCAACATGACGAGTGTGTGCACGGAGGACAGCTCCTCTCTTCCTCGTTCTATTCTGCTTATATTGTGAGAGAAAGCCATGGCAACAGCATGAGAATCCTGCATCGCATTCTATACGCCAACAAATCCTCTCAGCGTATGCCACAATGCACGGCACATTCCACAGTGTCACCATCCAGGCAGATGCACACATTTCACAAATCGCTATAACAACACAACAGTGGTAGGTGTGCAGTGCGCTGTCCACTCACCGGAGGACGTGCAGCTGAAGGAGGCAGGACGCTCCTCTTCCTCTCCGGCTGAAGGCAGCTCTGCTTGTGCGAGTGCTGCTAAACAGCCCCCCCTCTCTCTCTCTCCTGCTCTGCCTGCACCACCCTTGTGCTCGTGCTATCAGACAGATGTGTCATCGTGGAGAATCCTGCGAGAAAAACCCAGCGACTGTCCAATCCGAGTCAGAGAGAACATTACGGATCTCTCTGGAGATCTACATCATCCCATCATTCATTGCATCGTCACAAAACCTGCTTACTAAAATCAACACCGAGCCGTTAACAGCGAGTGTATCACATTCTCAACACTACAGGAATTCTTCATGTTTTCGGTGCAATAAAACAATGCTGTACTGAAAGGAGGCACCTTAGAGTTTGTGTCTGATGGGCCACAGGAAGTCACTCTGCAGAGGACGCTCTGGGGACCAACTCCCATGGAAATCTAGGGCTGTCTTCAGATGCATTCTACATAATTAAAGGTATGAAGAACTCCACACAGACCCCAGACCCCTGATGTGATGCCAGGTGCAGAGAATAGAAATGAGAATATTTATTCCGATAGCCTTTATTTTGGAATTGTAATCATCCATCCATCTTCTCCCGCTTATCCGTGGTCGGGTCACGGGGGTATCAGTTCCAGCAGAATTGCAATCAACTGACATTTAAAGGTCCCATGTCATGCTTTTCTGGTTATTACCCGTCCCCTTGTTGTTATGAAGGTGTTTCTGCATGTGAACGGCCTGCAGAGTCACAAACCCTCAAAGTACACCCTGTAGCGAGTAAAACTCTAACACAGAAAAGACCTGTCTATGCTGCCCCAGAACGCCTCGTTGGACATTTCTCTTTCTCCATTGTTTGCTTCCTGGGTTCTGTGACGTGTGAACACCCAGATCAACAACAAATGACTAACAGGGAGTCCCATTGACTTGAATACAGCTCCCTGAACGCTGGTAATAGACGAGTTGGGATGGCGGAGAAATGCTCTCCGCAGACCCATTCTCACAGCGTTATAAACCTTTTACTTACTCAATATCAAGCCACACTTATTGTTTTTACTTCAGCTGTGAGTGTCTGTGTGTGCTCAGGATGAGTTTCGCTTGTTCTCGCTGTATCGCCGACCCGGAAACCTGTCCGCTCCTTGCAGCAACTCACAGCAACGAGCCTCGCAACGTCCAGACCAATCAGAGCACACTGGGCTCATAGGGGGGGGGGGGCTGGAGCTCCAACAAGCCGTGTAGGACAGAGGGTGAATACACATACTCTACAGAGATGCTGTATGAGAAACCAATGTGAGTTTGGAACATTGAACAATGTGAATCTATTCTAGTAGACCTCAACAATGGAATTATGATCAGTAGAAATGGCCATGACATGGGACCTTTAAAACTGAAGACACTAGGCTCTTTTCTGCCATTATAAAAAAGGTAATACATATATGGAAATATCAGTTACAGTAAACATGGTCTGTTGTAATTATTTGGACCTGGGCTGACTTCAGATACCTGACATGATACAGCTCTGTTTGTGCTCCTTTGCCCTCTGGTTAGTTCCACAGCAAACTGCCCTGCAGTCAGGAGCCTGTCGAGTCTCACGGCTAAAACTGGATTTGTGTTAGAATACTTTGCAGGGGTTCCATGCAAACTAATTACAAGCAGCCTACGGTTGAATGATCCTGTCCTCCAAATGTAACATTTACATACAAGAGGATTATGGGAGATTATCACGGCAGCTCAGGGGCCTCATTTATAAACGTTGCGTACGCTCAAAAGATGGCGTACGCCCGTTTCTAAGCAATCTTTGCGATTTATAAAAAACAAAAACAAACGTCCTCCACGCAAACTCTGACCTATCCATACGCGGTACGCACAAAAACGGGAGGGACGAGAAACTGCGACACGTTGGCAGAAGGAAGAATGGAGAGAAATATGTGGAAATAATACCATAAATAAAATGTTACCATAATAATAATAATCCTTATATTTATTATAGCGCTTTATCAATGACTCTCAAAGCGCTTTACAAATACACATTACACATACAGATCATACGTAATGGTCATCTACCATGTATCATATATAAAGAATTACTTTGCAAAAATTGATTAAAGCCAATCTTAAAATGATTAAACAAACGCCTTTTTGAGACTCCTCAGTGCACACAAAAACATAACTTGGATAAATAAATAAATACGGATATGGTAGAGCCGATGAATGGGAGTCGGAGGCGGCGTGTTGAGTATGGAACTCCACACTTTATTTTCCATTAGTTTTACAGAAGGGAAGAAAAACTTGCATACATGCTACTCAAGCTAGAATGATAACAACCCACACGATACACCACAGTGAATTATGTCCCGTAATGTTCCACCACAATGTTATTTAAAACCACCTGGAATATGTTGTGTTAATGTTATGAAATGTTTTCTCATAAATGATGCGGTAAGCAGGAGGATAGAATTACGTCTAAACTGACGCCGTTTTGCATTTCTATAGGTTGTAGATACAAGCATGGTTTTATATACTATCATGTTTAATCGTGTTTTATGCCGTTTGCCAAGACTTGATAAGTCGCTCGTAAAACACAGGAGGTATGGAAACTAAGAACACCATGTATTTGGTGAATTGTAGAGCTGAT